TGTTATGTTTTATTGAGTTTACTGACTGGGGAGCTGTTGCCTAGAAATTCAATGGTATGATGGATGGGGTACATGCAATATTCAACAGGAAGTTCAGCTGGAAGTGCACCACTTGTAATATTGGTTTAGGCCTCAAATGAGATGCCCTCTATGCTTGGCTTTTGGCCCTTACCAAATAAGGTGTCTAGATCTTGTTTGAGCTCTCCTTCACCAAATTGTAGAAAGTCCTGGACTGGCTATGTTCAGAAATTCCAGGAGACCTAACTAGCAGCCCTTTGAAAACCACCACGAAAACTTCAAAGTGGAGCGCGGTGGTTCAGGGATGCTCTTCCTCCTGGGCCCATGTTTATAATAAAAAAGAGTTTCTCCTCCCATTTACATGCTGCATCTCCCAGTCTTCCCCATTTGTTTTAGATTTGTTCACTTTCCTTGCAACATTGACACAGAGTTATAGAGTCAGAGAGCATAGAAACAGACCCTTTGGTCCAACTTGTCCATGCCAACTATGCTCCCAAACTAAACTAATCACACTCGCCTGCTCTTGGCCCCTATCTCTCCAAACTTTTCCTTTTCATGTATATAACCAAATGTCTTTTAAATGTTGCAACTGTACCCACATCCACCACATTGTTACAAAGCAGAGGTCGAGTCTTGCCCCCGATAACTAAAACCGAACCACCCAGTGAGGCTCACCTTGCCCTATAATCCATTAAAAGAAGTTTAAAAGGTGATATAACCTGCCTCTCACCCCCCCAATCTGTTATAAAAGAGTGATTAAATGAAATTAACTCCTGACACTCACTCTATAATCAACAATAGTAATTTACTTATCTAACTCTAAGAAATTAACTGAACTATTAACAAACCAAACAATTCCTCTCTAACTACCAACCATTCCTGAATAAAACAAGACTCAAATTGTATGCCATTCCAATAAATACAAGTTCCACTTATATAAACTAAAATTATAAAAAATTAGATCTTAGTCCCTCGAAATTATAGCCAGGTTACATCTTCTAGAATGTTCTGTGCCTTCTCCATTGATTTTCTATCAGGAACGTTCTGTCTATGAATTCTTCTGCCTGGAATATTAGCTAAGGGTGGCATGCTACCTTTATTAATTAGTCAATGCTTTCTCTAAAAGCTGAGAGAGCTGATCTCTTATCAGATGGCAGTTGGTTCTCTGCTGATTTTGCAACTGTCTCCGTCTTTTATGCCCTTGATGACATATCAATTTCTTTCAACAGGATTGGTCCTATGTTGTCAAAACCATCGGATTTAAATTTAACTGGTTTTTAGTATCTAAGTGCCTAGTTTAAATTATTAGGCTCCATTCAAATTTGTTGTCTTGATAAAAATACTGTTTTGCCTGCTAACAGAATAGCCTATTGATACAACTGTTATAATTCGATGCTCAGTGCACCTGCAAAACTCATAAGCTGCCCACAGATCCTTTTTTCCCCTCTCCAAGCCTAGAAAAAGCACACCATCTTTTAAAGGGATGACACACTGCTTCTTCCCCAATCATTTGAGAAACATCAATATTTTACAAACACCAAATTCTAACAGCCTGCCTTCCAATCCATAAGTACTCTACCGAACTTTACAACAATTTGTGTGTGTGTTTACAACAACTTCCTCTGGCAGTTCACTCCACACATTAACCACTCTCTGTGTAAAAAGTTGCCCCTCATATCCTTTTCAAATCTTTCTCCCCTCATCTTAAAAATGTGCCCCCTAGTTTTGAACTCCCCCACCCTAGGGAAAAGACCCTTGTCAATCACCTTATCTATGCATCTCATGATTTTATAAACCTCAATAAGGTCAGCCCTCAACTTCCTATGCTCCAGTGAAAATGTTCCAGACATGAGGGCCACAGGCTGCTAATGCAGCATTTTGATTGGTTTCACTGATCAGCTGCTTGGCAAAGTGAATTGGCTCAACTGCCAATCTGGTTTCACTGACTACGAAGGCCCAATATTGACCTCTGTACTGGAACATCAAAGTGTTGTGTCAAAGATGTGAACAGTTGCTCCAGCCTTTATCTCCAGCGCTCTGCTCAGAGGAACGTAATACCTCCCGCACACCAACCCCCCTTCCCCAGCTCTCATTTCTGAGGAAGGAGACTTGAAGAAGTTATCGAAGGCATGCTTCCCTTTATTGGTTAAAACATTGAGTACATGGGCTGGGACGTCATGTTATGACTGTACAAGATATTGGTAAGAGCACATTTGGACTACTCTGTGCAGTTCTGGTCAACCTGCTATAAGAAGGATATTGTTAAACTGGAAAGGACATAGAAAAGATTTGCAAGAATGTTACCAAGACTGGTGAGTTTGAGTTTTAAGGAGAGGCTGAATAGGCTGTGTCTTTTTATCCTGGAGAGTAGGAGGTTGAGGGGTGACCTTATAAATGTTTAATAAAATCTTGAGGGACATAGAGAAGGTGAATAACCAAGGTCTTTTTCCCCAAGGTAGGGGAGTACAAAACTAGAGGGCATGGGTTTAAGGTGAGAGGGTTAAGATTTAGAAGGGACCTGAGGGGCAGGTTCTCACATAGGGTGGTGCATATATGGAACAAGCTGTCAAAGGAGATGGGTACATTTAAAACATTTAAAAGACGTTTGGACAGGTACATAGATAGAAAAAGTTCAGAGAGATATGGGCTAAATGCAGGCAAATGGGATTAGTTCAGTTTAAGGAAACCTGGTTGATATGGACACATTGGTCTGTTTCCTTGCTGTATACCTCTATAACTTGATGACTCCATGCTTCATTCACTCATCTATAACCATCCAACAATGAACAGCAGTAGAAGTGTCTACTCTCTCTTAGCCATTTTTTCTTGGCACATTGATTTTAGCATTATGAATGAGTACCTTTGTGTGAAATGAAAGTACTGCTACCAACTTTGTTTCGTCATTAAAAAAAGGATTCATCGAGAATCTTGTTGCTGATATGAAGGTTGTTGCAAGGGATTTTTTGTATCCATGGCTTCCATGAATGTTCACTTTGTGAACACTTTAGATCTTGTTTTTTTTAATGATATTGGACGCATTTGTTGTCAACTCTTATTGAGAAGGACTGTTTAAACAGATAAGTAAGGGGAATGGCATTGTGCATGGGGAAAATAATGCTACTCGGGCTGGTATATTTGCCAAGCTGAGCTCTTACTTAATTGTATAGCACCAGCTTTTGATTGAACAGAATTGTTGTATTTGATGTAAGGTACAACACTTATGTAAGAAGGCAAATGATATGTTATGTTACGACTAGACTTCAGACAAAGTTCCCCCAGTTGTTATAGTTTCAAATGTATATTGAGGGAGGAAGGATGACTTGGCTCCTCTTTATTCATTCCACCTTTTGTTTGGCTGCAACAAGGTTGATTTAAAAATGACCCCTCCCTTGTGGGATGCCTTTCTCTCAGATCAAATGAAGTTATGTTTTAAAAGGAGCTAACATAGCCAGGTCTTCTTGAGTCAACAAAAGGGTGACTTTATTTGTTGCTAAATATGACACACACACACACAGGTTAGGAATAAGAAGAGTCCAAAAGAAATAAAAATTAAAGGATATATGCGTCAGTCTTTCTGCATGGTTTGTGAAGAGTAGATAGAGTGGAATGTTGATAGTTGAACAGTTGATTTCTGAAGTTGATTTTGAAATTAATCCCACACTTCTGCTCTTTCACCACAGCCCTGAAATATTCTACATTTCATGGATTTATCCAACTCTCTTTGGAAAGGATAAAAAGCAATAATTTAAAAGCACTTAGAAACTATTTGACAAACAATTTTATTTGCAAAATGACAAAGTTCAAATTGGTTACACTGTATTCATAGAAAGCTGCAATTCTTGCAGAAAAATATCCCTTGTATTATACAACATTAAACATAAAGATTTTTTTATAAATAAAAATAAATTAAATAATGAACTCTTAATGGGATGTATTAATTAACATTTATCGCAGACATATAATAACTGAGAATAAAATATTGATAATCCAAAACAGGGCATTTATGCAAGCAATGACTATAACTGAAAGACACTATGGAGTCTGAGAAAATTCATTACAAGCTCCCTCATCCCTTTGTGATACTGGAACGCAACTGATGTGGTGGGCAAGGAAACTGTGGACCCCACCTACAAACTAACGTCAAAGACCCAGAATGTAGTCATATAATAGAAAGAGAAGCTGTATTTCCAAACAGAAACTTCAGAAAATAACATGCCAGTCTCATAAGGGAGCTGCTGAAATGTATGAGTGGCATTGGGCGTATTTGGTTTCATTATACCAGGTAACAAAGCAAGACAGGAGCTTAACTAACATTGGCCTGGCAAGTGTTTCACCTTCAATTTAGAGTTTGATTCTGTGTGCCCTTTGCAGCCACTGGGTCAAAATCCTGGAACTCTCTTACTGACCACCCTCTCTGGCACTTGAGCACAGAAATCAATGCTGATAATTCAGTGTCGCATGGACGGAAAGCCACACTGTCTTTTTTTTGGGTGAGATGTTAAACTGATGCCCCTCCGCCTGCTATAAAAGATCTCATGGCACTGTTGAGATTTCCTCAGTGTCCTGGCCAATATTTATCCCTGAATCAACACCGCAAAAGAGCAGATTTTCTGGGCATTATCATATTGCTGCTTGTGGGAATGTGCTAAGCTTATAGTAGCTCTCCCATTTCCCACATTACAACACTTGAATAAGAGTAGTATTGGCTGTAAAGCGATTTGAGATATCCAGTGGTTGTGAAAAGTGCTATATAAATGCAAGCCTTTTTTTTACCTTCTTTCTTTTCGAATCACATGCACACTTGCCCATTTTTCAGCAGGTGACTGAAAAAGCTGATCTTCACCTCCTGTCTTCATGCCATGTTTGGTGAAAATGATTCTTCCATCTACATTTAATATAAAATCTGATGACCATATGCACTAACAATTTTAGTTGAAGCACGTTTCTTGAAGAATGAGTTTTATGTTTAATCAACATGAAGTTCAATCGTGTTGTTGAACAGGAGACTGAGAGTCACAGTTTTTTCCAACATAGCACTGACAGATGAATTTCTCAGCAAAGTACAGCAGGTCACTGAAGGATGCTTGGCCTTTTACTGCAAGGTGCCCATTTCTCTTTCTGTGTATCTTGAAGCTGCTCGGGTTCAAGTGCAGATAGTCACTGGATTCCCAGTTCTTTCTTAAACACCTACCTTTGTTGCTGCACAGTGCCCTGCTGCACAATCTCGCTGCACGGGTTACATTGAAGATGTAGCGGCTCAGGACATCGTCAACAAAACTCTGCAGCATTGAGCACGATTGCTGTGGAAAGAAGTTCAGTGCAATGAGTGTCTCCACAGCGAAAGGTACATAGGAGAGGCAGTAAATTTCACCAGCTTTTCTTTCAACTCATTCATGAGATGAGGGTGTCGCTGGCTAGGCCAACATTTATTGCCCATCTCTAATTGTCCAGCGGGCAGTTAAGAGTCAATCACATTGTTGTGGTTCTGGAGTCACATGTAGGCCAGGCCGGGTAAGGATGGCAGTTTCTTTCCCTAAAGTACGTAAACCAGATGGATCGACAATGGACTTATGGTCATCATTAAACTCTTAATTCTAGAATTTTATTGAATTCAAATTCCACAATCTGCCATGACAGAATTTGAACGTGGGTCCCAGAACAATATTTGGGTCTCTAGATTAACAGTCCAGCAATAATACCACTAGGCCATCACCTCCCCAAATCAAGTTACATTTCAACAATCTAAAGAGAAATGAGCAATAACTCTAAGTAGGAAGGCAGTGGCTGTACAACAGTGCTCCAGGCTACTATAACCTTGCAAGGTGGACTATGCGTACACACCATCCTATTCCTTCTAGTCTACACTCCCATTGCTATGACAGTTAAAAGCAGGAACCACCTTACGTCACATTTACACTCTCCCAAGTATTTGAATATTTACAACCCAGTGGTGTATTTGCAGGTGGTGTATTCAATAAGAGAGGCACCAAAGGCTACAGAAGACATAAGCTTAAACATTATGATAAAGAAATCTTGTTGGAGAGGACTAGATTCTAAGCCCAATAACCATGTCAGACCTCATTCGTGGACAGATTCTACAAAGGTTAATAGGCACTATAATTAATCCAAAAACTCCAAGTAAGGTCTCTATTCTGTCACTCTACCGTTCGAATTGAGCTGATTGGTTTATGCGGTGAAGTTTTTTTTGGTGCTTCTAGTTTGAAAATGATTGTATTTCTCAGATATTTTAATTGTTTTTGTCAGCTTACTTCCAAAACTTGTTTTCAATGTGATCCCAATTCCATGCTTGAAAATTACCATTGAGACTTTTCATTGAGATTTGCAAGAGATTTAGGTGGGGCGGCTGGTGAGGTGAGGGGGTTTGGGCAATGATGATGGGGAAGCTAAATGGGTTATGGGAGTGGGGAGCAATATGGGACGGGTCAGGTCGTCTGTTGGGATTTGTGAGGGGTGGGTGTGGGAGAAGTGATTTGTGCGACTTAGAATGGGGAAGAGCAATGAAGCAGGTGGAAGAGTGGAAAGGAGGCAGGATGTTTAATCTTCAAGGATTTTAAAACAGAATCTGTCTTTGCACTTGCTTTCCTTGGAGCAGGAATTAAGGATTAGGCCATGATGCCATTAGAAAAACAATACACATTTATAAGGCTCTCATAGCCAATGGTACTCTATCAGAGTTCCACACCAGCTATTGCTGCCTCACAGATCACAACCCCTGAATCTTGCATCGTGATGCTAGTTTGGGAAGGCCCAATAATCTTTGGTCCATTACTATCCAGATACTTATACATTTTTAACCTCACATTTTTTTGCAATTCATTCACAGGATGAGGGCTTTGCTGGCTAGGCCAGCGTTTATTGCCTTTCCAGAGGGTAGTTAAGAATCAATGACATTGCAGTCAGTGTGGAGTCACATGTATTCCTGACCAGGTAAGGATGGCAGTTTCCTTCCCTAAAGGGACATTAGTGAACCAGGTGGGTTTTTTTCCCCAATAATTGGCAATGGATTCATGGTCACCATTAGACACTTAATTCCAGATTTGTATTGAATTCAAATTCTACCATCTACTATGGCAGGATTTGAACCCAGGTCCCCAGAACATTATCTGGCTCTCTAGTTTAACAGTCCAGTAATACCATAAGGCCACCACCTCCCCCATCTCTGATGAAGGTTTATGTTGTTTGATGTTACCAGCAACTGAAAGATATACTTTGAAAGAATCAATGTAGACTCAATGGTTCCACTGCTTTATATTTGATACACTCATAGTACCAGAAATACAAAGTTATTTCCCTATGAAATTTCACCAGAAATATCAAGGTATTTCTTTATGATTACCTTACAACTTTCACACTTCCTCCAGCAGTTTTGTGCCATGGAGCATCATCCCTGGAGTTTGACTAATTATTTCTGAGTTAAGAGCGGATTGTAATTGGAAATTTCTGTTCACTTTGGTATGATTACATAAAATGAGGCGAGAACGGGTATTCTGTTAAACAGCAGGAGTAAAGTGGATCATGACGAACAAAAATCTTACTTTATTTTGAGTTATGTTTGAGCTTTCCCACACAATGATCCCTGCTGCTCCAAGAGATGCACTTTCACCAATTGTCCTGACAAGGTCGTCCTGGGGAGAAATTTTGTAAGTTAGTTCTTAACACGAAAAGGGCCGAGTAAGTCAATATACCAATACTTCTGGATTAGATAGGTCAAAACACAGAAGTTTATAAGGCTTTTCTTTTCGCAAACTCGATTGTGTTCTAGTTGATTTACCATAACAAAGCTACGAGATAACCTCAATCATAGCAGGCTATTTCAACTGGGTAATTGCATAAACCAAAAGAAGTTTCTATGCATGACCTAAAACCAACACAATAATAGTAATGATTGGGCAATTGGTTTCTCCCAAGGGCTTGATTACACTAACAAGACTGACTCTCCTGTGCAGTACTGAGGGAACACTGCACTGTTAGAGGTGCTGTCTCTTAGAGGTAACATTAAACTGAGGTCCCATTTGTCTCTTCAGGGGGATGTAAAAGATCTTATCGTATTATTTCTGAGAAGGGCAGGGGAGATATTCCAAAGATCCAGTCTCTCAAATAACATTTCAATACTATTTATGGAAGCTCACTGGGTGCATTTTGGCTGTCGTGTTTCCTAGATTACAACAGTGACTTCATAAAGCACTTAAGGCTTCATAAAGCAATAAAGCGCTTTGAGACATCTGGTCATTGTGAAAATTGTTACGTAAAAGCAAGTCCTTCTTTCCTGAACTGAACTGAAGTCTGGATTTATCTAAACATATTGTTGACACATGTCTTGACCGGCCATATATCATCTCAATTCAGAGCTACCTAGTTCTTTTGAACTCCACACTTGTTTGATACCAAAAAGACCATGTTCCAGCATTAGATGCACTTTATGCACATTGGAAAAGGGATAGAGAAGGTGGCAAATAGTCTGTGTGAAGTGAAAAGTAGATCACCTGCAAAAATCAAGTCTTGTAGTTTGGGGAAGAGGGTAATTAAAGGGTGGAACTCAAAGAATCTAAACAATACTGAATGGAGTGTTGTGTTATGGTTCAGCCAAGGAAAACCCGAGAAGAAAGGACAGAGGATGTCAATAGGGACATAACTGCAATCATAAAATAGAAAGAATATTTTTCCTCTGAGTGCTGAATATTTGGAATAAACCTGCTGCATGGGAAACATCATGTAAGGTGCTCAAGGATGAAAGGAGAGAGGTTATGTTAAATGTGATATAAACATTCTTACTTGTGTTTAATTTTGGTTGCCCTTTTCTAACAGCCAGTTGACAATAGTCATTTGGAAAACATGTCCAACTGACACAGTTCTAAGAGCTAAGGATTAAATCATGTTGGAACAGCAACTGTGGTTAAAGTTTTAAGTGTTTCCACATAAGAATAATGTTTGCCAGTTGACTGGTGGAATTCATCAAATAGTGTTTGTAACTGAGTTCAGTATCAGCCAACTCTGAAACTCAAACTCCAAACCGCAGCATGGTAATATGAACAATTTGTTTTAGAACGAAGTGGGTGGTCAGAGAGGGTCATTTCAGAAGGAATAGCTGGAAATAAAAGGATTAATCCCACAGTGAACTGCAAACTGATTGTACATACCAACATAGTTGGCTTATCAAAATAAAACTTTCTCCTACAACATGTACCCAAAGAATGTTTTATTTACCTAAAACAGAGCGGCATGGGATGTAAAACTGCCTTTCCTGGTGCTCTTGAGGAATAATAAGTATTTCAAATCAACCCGTACAGAGATGTTATAACACACCTCTGCAACAAGTGGCACTTGAACCTGGGCCTCCCGGCTTAGAAGTATGGACACTATTACTGCATCACAAGAGTTCCTACTAAGCATTGTAAATATATTTTTTCAAGGTTGATGCACCTCCAGAGCAAGTGGGACTTGAACCTCAGCTTGAGCTTGAGCCAGAAAGTCTGGTTCAAATCCAGCTCCAGAGGTTTACCCAACTCTGAGCAAAACCAGAAATTGCTGAAGAAACTCAGCAGGTCTATACATACAATCCCTACAGTGTGGAAACAGGCCCTTTGGCCCAGCAAGTCCACACTGGCCCTTAGAGCATCCCACCCAGACCCATCTCTCTATAACCCACCTAATCTATACATCCCTGAACACTATGAGTAATTTAGCATGGCTGATCAACCTAACCTGCAAATAAGATCATAAGACCATAAGACATAGGAGCAGAACTTAGGCCATTCGGCCCGTCGAGTCTGCTCCACCATTCAATCACGGCTGATAAGTTTCTCAACCCCATTCTCCCGCTTTCTCCCTGTAACCCTTGATCCCTTTGATAATCAAGAACCTATCAATCTCAGTATTAAATGCGCTCAATGACCTGGCCTTCACCGCTCTCTGTGGCAGTGAATTCCATAGAGTCACCGCTCTCTGGCTGAAGAAGTTTCTCCTTATCTCTGTTCTAAAAGATCTTCCCTTTACTCTAAGGCTGTGCCCTCAGGTCCTAGTCTCTCCTACCAATGGAAGCATCTTCCCAACATCCACTCTGCCCAGACCATTCAGTATTCTAATCTTTGGACTGTGGGAGGAAACCCGCACAGACACAGGAAGAACGTGCAAACTCCACACAGACACAGGAAGAACGTGCAAACTCCACACAGACAGCCGCCTGAGAGTGGAATCGAACCTAGGTTCCCTTGTGCTGTGAGGCAGCAGTGCTAACCACTGAGCCACCATGCCACCTGGCAGCATCTGTGGTCAGAAAGCAGAATTAATGTTTTGAGTTCAGGGACTGGACTGGAAAAGTTAGCTCTGTTTTCTGCATGTAAATAAAAACTTAAAAAGGGAAGGATTAGATCCCAGTTCTATTCTTCACGATGTGACGTTCTGGAATAAAGTCTTTGGCGCTGATAAATACAGTCCTTAGTCATGCCAATGACCTGCCTGTGTCCTTTGGCACTTCCCCTATGTGCTACTACTTCTGGCTATCACCAGCTGTCTACTGCACTCCATGGTGCTGTCAATCTCCTGGTTTACTATTATTTTTATATCTCTGCTAAGCTTTACTCTCCTTTAGTACACAGCTGGGAACTACACAGCAATGCTAAAAAGCATTTTCTTTTTAAAATCCAAGTGAAATCTTGCCATAATTTATGAAAGTTGACATTAAGATTGGAAATGACACAAATTATAAATCTGTCTAGGTTTGATGTTGGTTCCCAGCTGGCCAATACTGAGAACTCCACAGCATGGAATCCTATTTTTATGATTTGTTCTTGTGTTAACATATTTGAATTGGACTGCTACCACTATCCCATCATATCCACCGCTCTAGAACGCTGTATTTCCTCCTCCAGATCAGAATCCCCAGGTTGTTAAGGCTTTCATTTCACTTCCTGGTAAGAGTTGGGTGGAAGCCTGAATGCCCCAGTCTGCGGATGAATGACCAATGGGCAAGAACTCATGAGATTTATAAAATCATGAGGTGCATGGATAGGGTAAATAGTCAATGTCTTTTCCCCGGGGTGGGGGAGTCCAAAACTGGAGGGCATAGGTTTAAGGTGAGAGAAGAAAGACTTAAAAGGGACCAAAGGGGCAACTTCTTCACATAGAAGGTGGTGCGTGCATAGAATGAGCTGCCAGAAGAAGTGGTGGAGGCTGGTACAGTTACAACATTTAAAAGACATTTTGACGAGTATGTGAATAGGAAGGGTTGTGAGAGATATGGGCTAAATGCTGACAAATGGGACTATATTTATTTATGATATCTGATCGGCATGGATGAGTTGGACCAAAGGGTCAGTTTCTGTTCTGTACATCTCTATGACTCTATGAACTCATTGAATGGCTGAAAATTTCTGTCCTCTAATTGCACCAATGTACCCTATGACTTTCGTTCATTTATTCATGTGGTCATCTCTGGCAAGATCACCATTTATTACCCTTGGAGACAGGTGTTACCTGCCTCTGTGAACAGCCACAGTCCATGTAGTGTAACTGCACCCAGAGTGCTTTTCCCTGTCATGGGGCTGGCTAAGAGTTGAGCATATTGCCGAGGGTCTGGAGTCCCATTTGGGCCAGACCAGATAAGAATGCAGATATTCCTTTCTCCAAAGGTCATAACTGAATCGCAACAACTCATTATTATTTATGACTAGAATTTTAATCTAAACTAATGAATTGAATTTAATTTCTTTCCCCAAACTGCTGTGGTAGGAAATGAACCCATGTCACAGGATTATTAGTCCAAACTGTCGATTAATTAAACATTAACATCGCCATTATGTTATACTCTAAGCTTATTTCTCTGAGACTACTTCTGTGACTAAGCTTCTGGTTACCTGCACTTGTAATCCCTTCAGGACAGTATTAAGTTTTGTCTGATTACACAATACATCATTTATATATGATAGGTGCCCTATAAATGCAAGTTATAGTTAATTTACATAAGCCACTTTACTACAGTTTTGGATAGCTTTTGATGGGAATACCAAGTGTTTAGAATAAGCGTTTATGAATCGATAGCCCTATCACTTTAAATTCTTCTGCTGATTTGTTAATAGTGTTTGCTGAATCATCTTCTTACCTCAGAGAGGGTTTCATTCAGAGAATCACGATAGACTGCTCTGGTGTAGGGATAGACAGGGAGAGAATGGTTCTCCTTGGAAAATGCTGCCACCCTCATCGCCTCTTGGACACGATTCCGTACAAAAAGCTTCGCATTGTTGGAAGACTTGAATATTCTGGACATATAAATACTCGGGTATAAGGCTGTGCTTTCTTGCCATAACCAGAGCAGTTCATTATTCCGCGATATTGCACGTGATGGACACATCCCTGTGTACGTTCTGTTTTTGTTCTTGTGCATATAGTTGTAACAATGAGGGAACAAGTAATATCCCCAAAGTTGATTCGGTCTTAATTTCTTTCCCAGCTGCAAAGACTTTAATAGAAACTGTTTTGCAGCTTCTTGGAATTCAGTCTTGGCAATAGCAGCTGCCCTTTGTCTTGTTAAGGAAAGGTCCCTCTGTTGGACTAATTCAATGGACTGGCGTTTATAGATGAGTTTGTGGTGCCAGTTTCGATCCCAGAGGGGCCTCCAATTTTCCCAGTCAATAATTGCCAACCCTCTGGACATGTTTGATGGAATTAACTCTTCAATATCGTGCGCAGCCTTTTGCAAGTGCTCATCCATTTTGACCTGCTGTGGGATGCCACCATTGAACTCCTGACCAGTTAGCTCATTGTAGTGAGGATAGTGGCCAATCATACCATTGAAGAAGATTCTAATGTCCTGCTGAAGTGGACTTCTTCGTGTGGTGGATACCATTGGAAAAGGTGTTAGATTGTAAGTCACTCCAAACTTCTTTGTGCATAGCTCTGTTGGCGCATTCCACATCGCAAGAAATGGAAAATTTCGTTTAAGTGGAAGTGCAGTCTTAAGTTGCAACTGGCTGAAGCATAAGGGGATGAATGAGAGGTGCCAAAAAATTGCCAAACCATTAATGCAACTACTGAAACGTCCTAAAAGGTTGAATGAGTCCATCATGGCAAAGGTTTTGCAGCTTCTAATAAAATATTGGGTGAGAACAAAAGTTGTCACATTTGAAAATGCACTCATAAAATCTTATTTAAAATTTAATTCCAGCAAGATGCGTAGCTCCTAAGTAAATTTCATAGACTCCACACAGTGCAGACACAGGCCATTTGGCCCACTGAGTGTGCATTGACCCTCTGAAGGGCATTTCACCTAGACTCATTGCTTCCACCCACTCCATCCCCGCTCATCCCCTGTAACCCTGCATTTCCCACGGCTAAACCACCTAGCCTGCACATCCCTGGACACTATGCGCAATTTAACATGGCCATTCCACCTAACCTGCACATCTTTGGACTTTGGGAGGAAACTGGACCACATGGCAGAAATCCACGCAGATATGGCAAATCCCATATGGACAGTATGGCTGGAATCAAACTCAGTTTCCTGGCACTGTGAGACAGCAGTGCCATCCACAGTGCCAACCACTGTATCAACTACCGTGCCACCCCTAACTTTATCTTCAAGTCTGATGTACTAACGTATAATCGTTATTCTACCAGTCGGTCAAATTAAAGATTGCATATTAGAAATATTAATTTGCAAAATATACTGATGAAGAAGTGCTGATATTAAATTCTTGTATTTTGTAGTTCTGTCTCCAGGGCATTTCCGTCAGTGATCTCTGCAGGCAATTCCAACAAAGTCCTCACCTTGGGAATACTGCAGAGAAATCCTTGTTTGTGACCACACCCACCAATTAGATGACACTTACCTTATCCCTGAATGTGGTGATATCCTTGTAACCAATCCACTTCCTTACATTCCACTTTGTCCTAATCTCATACTGCACACTGAATTTTTTTTTATTCATTCACGGGATGATGGTGTCACTGTCAAGGCAGCATTTATTGCCCATCCCTAATTGCCCAGAGGGCAGCTAAGAGTCAACCTCATCGCTGTAGGTCTAGACTCACATGTAGGCCAGACCAGGTAAGGATGGCAGTTTCCTTCTCTAAAGGACATTAGTGAACCTGACGGGTTTTTCCGACATTTGACAATGGATTCATGGTCACCATTAGATTCTTAATTCCAGATGTTTTATGAATTCAAACTCCACCATCTGCCATGGGAGGATTCAAACCCGGATCCCCAAGATTTAATCTGGGTCTCTGGATTAACAGTCCAGTGATAATACCACTAGGCCATTGCCTTCCCTTTACAGGCCGCAAAAGGATTAATCTTATATCTCTGTTCCTGTCCAGCACCTCCACTGCAGCCTCCCCATCTCTTGGCACTGTAACACAAGCCTTGTGCCTTCTTCCTTTCAGATAGCCATGAATTGCCACCTGGCCAGACAGTGGAGTAGCAACAAGTAGTCAGAGATGGATGTGTTGTAATCTCACTTAATTTCATATGTGCAGCCAAAAGTTTAGGCACTAACACTATTTTAGAGGATAGACTAGAGGCAGGATCTGTATGTGATGAGACATTTAATTAATGGGATATGGATGTCACAGGCTGAAGCAGTTTTTATTGCCCATTTCTAACTGCCTTGGAGAATGTGATGGTGAGCTGCTTTCATGAACCGTTGCAGTCCATGTGGCACTTTTAGGGACGGAGTTCCAGAATTTTGACTCAATGCCACTAAAGGACAGGCGATATAGCTTCAAGTCAGGACAGCATGTAGCTTGCAGAGGAACTTGCAACTGGCAACATTCCTATGTACCAGCTGTCCTTGTCCTTCTAGATGCTAGGAGTTGTGGGTTTGGAAGTTGCTGCTGAAACAGATGAATTTTTGCAGAGTATCTTCAGACTGAATGTTGAAGCTGTTAGATAGGGTGCCAAACAAGTGGGTTGCTTTATTTTGAGCAGTGTCAAGCTTCTTGAGTGTTTTTGGAGCTGCACCCATCCAGTTAAATGGAGAGCATTCCATCAAACTCCTGACATGCCATGTTGATGATGAACAGGCAATGGGAGTCAGGGGGTGAACTATTCACCAAAGAATTTCCAGCTTCTTACTGGCTCTGCAGCCACAGTGTTTACATGGCTGGCCCAGTTCAGTTTCTGGTCAATGGTAACTCCCAAGATGTCATTGTTTGAGGATTCAGTGGTTGCAGTGCCATTGAATATTCAAGGGGCAATGGTTGGATTCTTGCTGGAGATGGTCATTGCCTGGCGCTTGTGAGGCATGATTGTTACTTGCTATTTATCTGGGGCAGGGGCAAAGACAGTGCAGGTGCCAAGTTGTTAAAGGGTGAAGGTGTGCACAGGTTTTGCTATAGGGCACTCAGATGAGGACTATGATGGGACATCCCGTAGAAGAATGTTGATGGGCATACACAATTAAAGACTGAGTACAGTAAGAGACCAGAAAACTTTCAGGAAACAAGAATGATGATGTCCAATACCAACTTGATGCAGGAATTCACATAGAGCTTGGAGCTCATCATTTCCAATTTGGAAGTGTTGGTCGACTCTTCTTTCACACTTGTGGATCCAACCAAGTTGTGTGGCATGGCTAACATTAGCTCCACTGCAGTGCAACCATCAGTAAACTGATGTCCAAGTGCTTCAATGGAAACTGCTGTCATCTTTGCTGTTGGTTACAACACTCCAGCAATCTTCAATAGATTACAGGCTTTACCAACACAATGTCCTGTAGGTTATGGCAATGACTGTGTGGAGCACCAAGTTCTGTCCTTTCTCAGGAAGGCAGGTTTCACTCTCCCATCCCATCTACTCCACCCACATCCTTTGCTATAAACAGGAAGATAACTATTTACGTAGGGTTTGTGTCTGCACTTTTAGTGAGGGCTTTATTTCACTTAACCACACTCACTGATCACATTTTTCTTTCGTTTTGTGTTTTTATACATATCCAGAAGTGCACTTCTACACAACTGCACGTTTTTTTCTCCAATCACCAAATTACCCGTGGTCTTTAAACATTTTATCTATTAAACACTACCAGTCAGTCACCTTTGTTAACAACTGAATAATTTTATGTGCAAAGCCCATTAAAGGCAATGCAAACCACTAAAGGGAGAGAGGGAGGGGGTGGGGTCTAAATCAAAATGGAGTTAGAAGGTGTTGCTACAGGTTACTAGTTCTCCCATCCTTGTGCAACCAATCGATGCTCAATTAACCCTTTTTTAATATATTCACCTCCTGTTTCCTTGTTCCATTAGGGTTCAAGCATTACTTCAGACTACATTAGATGATAACGTCTACTCTTGCCTGTCAAACTTGCAAACGCAGGCTGCTGTTACCAAGTGCGGAGCTGGAGGGACATAGCAGGCCAGGCAGCATCAGACCGGTTGGAAAATGGAAGTTTCGGGTCGGGACCCTTCCTCAAGAGAAGGGTCCCAACCCGAAACTTCAGCTTTCCTGCTCCTCTGATGCTGCCTGGCCTGCTGTGTCCCTCCAGCTCCGCACTGTGTTATCTCTGACTTCAGCATCTGCAGTTCTTACTATTACTGCTTTTGCCCAGGCTGACTTGGTGAAATCTGTTTCAAGTTGTTCTCCAGGGCCATCTGCAGTCTTTGTCACTGTATGTCAGCAATCTTTCACTCGCCATACTGCAGTGACCGGAGAAACACTGTACAGAAGCATGACAGGCAAAGGCACTCATGTGACAGGAGGCAAGAGAATGCACGAGAAAGATTCTCTTGTTCTGAGGAAGGGTCACTGGAACAAAGAACAAAGAACAAAGAAAATTACAGCACAGGAACAGGCACTTCGGCCCTCCAAGCCTGCACCGATCCAGATCCTCTATCTAAACCTGTCGCCTATTTTCCAAGGATCTGTATCCCTCTGCTCCCTGTCCATTCATGTATCTGTCTAGATACATCTTAAATGACACTATCGTGCCCGCCTCTACCACCTCCACTGGCAACACGTTCCAGGCACCCACCACCCTCTACGTAAAGAACTTTCCACGCAGATCTCCCTTAAACTTTTCCCTCTCACCTAGTAATTGAGTCCCCCACTCTGGGAAAAAGCTTCTTGCTATCCACCCTGTCTATACCCCTCATGATTTTGTAGACCTCAATCAGGTCCCCCCTCAACTTCCGTCTTTCTAATGTAAATAATCCTAATCTACTCAACCTCTCTTCATAGCTAGCACCCTCCATACCAGGCAACATCCTGGTGAACCTCCTCTGCACCCTCTCCAAAGCATCCACATTCTTTTGGTAATGTGGTGACCAGAACTGTATGCAGTATTCCAAATGTGGTCGAACCAAAGTCCTATACAACTGTAACATGACCTGCCAACTCTTGTACTCAATACCCCGTCCGATGAATGAAAGCATGCCGTATGCCTTCTTGACTACTCTATCGACCAGCGTTGCCACCTTCAGGGTACAATGGACCTGAACACCCAGATCTCTCTGTGCATCAGTTTTCCCCTGGGTTTTTCCATTTCCCACATAGTTCACTCTTGAATTGGATCTTCCAAAATGCATCACCTCGCATTTGCCTGGATTGAACTCCATCTGCCATTTCTCCGCCCAACTCTCCAATCTATCTATATTCTGCTGCATTCTCCGACAGGCCCCTTCACTATCTGCTACTCCACCAATCTTATTGGACCCGAAGCATTAACTCTGATTTCTCTCTACAGATGCTGCCAGACCTGCTGAGGTTTTCCAGCAATTTCTGTTTCTGTTAAAGATTCCTGACATCTGTTTCTGTTCTGAGGAAGGGTCACCGGACCCGAAATGTTAACTCTCTTTTTTTTCCTCCACAGATGCTGCCAGACCTGCAGGCCTTTTGCAGCAACTTTGTTTTTATTCCTAACATCTGTTTGCAATGTGGCACAATTTCATTTATAAACGTGATTTGGAGTGTTTAATTTGTGGGTTTTTTTGTTTTTGCATGGTGGCCAAGTGAACACAACCTTGGTTACTGACAAGTGGGAAGGTGAGGTGAGCTTATTGTTCCTGGTACATCTTCACTCCTCTTCCACTTTGCCAATTATGCCTCTGCTCATTAGTGGCTCGCTGTATGCTGGCGACACAAAAGCTGGGTTACTATGGTGGTTTGAATGCACTGGCAGAGCAGACTGGCACAGAATGAAGGCTGGCAAGAGACTCAGCACTTACCTGCATTATTGATGCCTATGGTCACATGGGTGAGGGACTGGAATCTCTTTTAGTTCCAGTGTTAAGGCAGGATAGACAAATGGCACTGGCAATGCAGTGTGTTTGCAGCCAATGTGTGGGTTTTCTCTGGGTGCTCCGGTTTCCTCCCACAATCCAAAGATGTACAGGTTAGGTGGATTGGCCATGCTAAATTGCCCATAATGTCTAGGGTGGGAAATGCACAGATGGGATAGGGGGTGAGTCTGGGTGGGATGCTCTTCGGCGGGTCAGTGTGGACTGATAGGCTGAATGGCCTGCTTCCACATTGTAGGGATTCTATTCTATTACAATGGCACTGTGTACACAAGGGGCAGCGTGCTGTGCCAGTAAAGCTGTGTGGTGTCTTTGCCTGCTCATCCCTGGCAAGAAAGAAAGTGAAGTATTGTTCACTCTGTTCGAATGGAGAACTTCAAGTGACTTACTCAACAGTGGATGGTGAGCTGTTGCTAATATCTTTACCTTCAGTCTGGAAGGAGTAAGGCACATTAACATTCATCAGTATGGTCACTTTCAGAGCAGCTGACAATGTTGAGATGGCCCTGGCACAGAACAGAGCACATGACTGCTGCCTAGACACTGGGCACTGATCTCCATGAGTCAATGTTTGTCGTTGTTGCTGCAGCAGTGAGGGGGAAGCAGATGTCAGACACATTGTTCTTCACTGTCCTTCAGTTAGAACATTCACTCTGCACATACCCTGGATGGACATTGTCTCCTGCTGAGTGTACTTCTCAACCCTCCTCCTCTGCTTCTCTAAGACAAACATCATTCTGAGTGGAATGCACCAAGTCTTGGAGCAATTTCTACTGTGCAGAAGCCTTGAAGTCAACAAAGCCCCTTCAGCTCCTGCTCAGTATTCCACTTGGTGGAGATTTGCAACTTGAAAAAACTACAGAAAGCAACAAACATTGGTGGTACAATAGGAGCTTCCGGAGAGAAAAAAAAAATCAGTACAAAATTAACCTGAAAATAGTTAATAATCACTTTAAATGGAGCAGGTAGAGCTCTGTGCTGCAGTGGCAGTGTACCTACCTTTGAGCCAGGAGATGTGAGTTCAAGCCCCACCTGCTGTGGGAAATGTGTAATAACATCTCTGAGCAAACTGATTTTTTTTTCTTTTTTTTTAATACGCTGAAGTATTATCTCACATAACTGAACAGCTTTTTGCCAATTACCAAATCACTCGTGGTATTTTTCACCTATTAATTACCACCATTAAATCACCCGTGTTCTAATTGATTAATTTACATGCAAAGCTCTTTAACTATAATGCAACTATAATGTGAGGGAGAGCTAGGGAAAGGGATTAAATCAAATTTGAGTTGGAAGGGGAGATTAAATGCTCCAATCCCGTGGTACCTACCTTTGTCTAAAATCATCGAGAGATGAACAGGTTGATTCAAACCTATCTTTAAACAGAGTTGCGTGGGAGAATTGTGTATTGTTAATCTGGAGTTTAAGTTTGAAACGGCAGCACTGACATCAAACCCATGTTGCTCTTCTGATTGATAGCCTCATGGTAGTATTGCTAGAATATTAATCTAAAGACCCAGGGGACACGGGTTTGAATCCTGCCATGGAAGATGGTGGAATTTGAATTCAATAAAAAGCTGGAATTAAGAGTCTAATAATGACCATGAAACCATTGTCGATTGTCAGGCAAAACCCATTCGGGCCACTAATTCTGTTTAGGGAAGGATGTCTGCCAAGCTTATCCAGTTTGTGTGACTTTTTAAAAATTCATTCATGGAATGAGGGCATTGCTGGCTGGGCAGCATTTATTGCCCATTCCCTAATTGCTCAGAGAGCAGTTAAGAGTCAACTGCATTGCTGTGGGTCTGGAGTCACATATAGGTGAGAACAGGTAAGGATGGCAGTTTCCTTCCCTAAAGGACATTAGTGAACCAGAGGGATTTTTCCCCAACAATCAGCAACAGATTCATGGTCATCATTAGGTTCTTAATTCCAGGCATTTATTGAATTCAAATTTCACCATCTGCCATAGCAGGATTCAAACCCAGATCCCCAGGACATTATCTGAGTCTCTGGATTAACATCCCAGCAATAATACCACTAGGCTATTGCCTTCCCATGACTGCAGAGCCACAGCAACGTGATTGATTGCCCACTGTCGGATGGTCAATAAAATCTGGCCCAGCCTGTGCTACCTACATCCTGTGAAAGAATTTAAAAATAAGTTCCTTGATCTATCTGCTCCGCATACTTTTGAGAGATGTTCATTGTCTGTCCATCTGCCAACAAGGTATTCAGTCTGATTTGTCCCACATCAGTGCAAGGAACCACAAGAACTAATGAGCCTAATTTCTCACTGAAAAACCCAATACTGCCTGTTTGCACTGCTTCAAAGTAAGTACCAATCTGAAAAAAAAGCTGCATCATCAGAAAGTACAAGCTAACAGTAAAGAGAGAGGCCATGCAGCCTAATG